TTGCCTCCCAAAAGGCAGGCGGTTAGGGTGGCTCTCGACGCTGCTGCGGGGCGCTAGTATGGCCTGCTTGACTTGCGCATGTCGCGTTATACAAGGGAGCAGTGGTGAGGGGGTTTTTTCTTAGTGATATGTTCCCTCATACCGCAGGGGGCCCCGTGCTTGGAAGGGACTCCTGGTGGTGTGTGTGGGAAAAATACCATAATTGGTTGCGCCCCATGGCGCGCAAGGAGTGTGTCAGGGCATCGTATGTTATGGATAGCAGTGTCGAGGAGAGGGCTCCCCGGTATGCTCTACGTTGTTCTGCTGTCAGGACACTCTCTGGGACGCGTGTCGTTCCTAGGGTGAGCTGGGTTGGTGGGAATTTGCAGACGGAAAATGGGGTCCTTGTGCCGTTCCAGCACAAGGGTTCCGGTCGCAGGGGGCCCATCCCGTTACCCGCGGTCTTTTCATGTGGGCAATCTGTCGGGATAGGGGACATGAGTGCTCTCCGAGCAGGACCTTTCTGCCCATATGAGGCTTCCTTCGGGTGGTGTGGGAGCGGCTTACCAAGAAGCTTGGTAGGCTTACCTCCCGACCAACTTTGGGGTGCTCCCGAAGTCCGCATCGTGGGAACCCCCCGCCCCCCCTTGGGACATGGTGCCTGTAGAGGGGCAGGGTCAATTTTGCCATATTTCTGACTGTCAGTGTTCTGTGGCTATGTGCTCTTAATGTCGCCCTCCTGGGTAAGCTGGGCTTTGCCTGTTGGTGTTGCCCTGCATTATGGGGTTTTCCTTTTGGGCCTCTGTTAGCGGTGGCTTGTGCAATCAGGCCCCCTAAGTCCCTTCCACTGACTTCCACCTGTTGCCGCTGCGGCGGGTTTGGGGGGTTTTAGGGCCTAATTGGGTTTTTTCCATGGTGTTCTGTCTCCTGCTCAGTAAGCTGGCAAGCATCGGATCTCTTGCAGACTGGCTGTCTTGGAGCTTCCCCATTCTGGTGGCATGGAAGGCATGGGGTACCCAACTCCCAGACAGGTGGGTAGTTCTTACATTGTGACAATTGTGGGGTGGTACAGGCTGTCTATATCATGTTGCAGTACCCTCTACCCCGGTGGTACCCTGGTTGCAGGGCCTAGCTCGGTGCTGCTTGAGTCTGGAGGTGTCTGGTCAGGCAGGGTTTTTTCCCGGGGGTTCTATCTTGTTCAGGTGGGGGGCTCCGTGGGGCCGAATTATAAGGCGGTGGAGTTGTGGTCGCTCGGTCTAGCGGTCTGGGGCCAGCTACGGTAAAGTGTGACCGATCAGGCCAGATGAGAGCATTTCCTTGGCGGCTTCCCGTTCATGTTACGGTCATCTGCAGGTGGGAAGGGGTTTTGGTGGCTCGAGTAAGCATCGGGATGGATTTCCTTCAGGCTTTCGCCGCTCGACAGCTGTTGTACTTGGGAAAGGTCAGTTGGTAGTGGTTGGTTGATTCATCAATAAAATCTGTTCCATTCTGGGATGTTGCAGGGTTGACCTAACCGGGCCCTTTCTGCTTTCTCTTGAGGTAGATGGAATGCACAGGGTAATGGTTAGGCTCCTACCGGGATATGCTAGGTTCCCAGTATAGTTGGAAATATACCGTTTCAATTGGGGGGAGTGCCGGGTTCCTAAATGTGTCCTGTTTTCCTTCGGTGAGGGCTATTGCGCCCCTGGGTTGTTCGGCCTCCTCTCCCATTTTTTGGTTCTCGAAGCCAGGTTTTCTCGCCTGCGTCCATGTCGTTGGGGTGCTCCAGTTGGGGCTTGAATTCCTGGATTAGGATGGTGGAGAGTTCAAGGGCATTTCAGTCCGATTAGGGGGCGGCTACAGACGCCGCCAGTCTGGGCGTGCTTGTGCCACTTGTTCACGGAGCTTGAATAGTAGGGGTCAGGGTGGTAGGTTCCTTGGGTTAACCCTGCCAGTCTCCAAATGGATTTCTCTCCGCGGTTACTGTCTCTCCCCCCTCCCCTCCACCCAGGAATAAGGAGGGTGGGATGCTCATATGTCATTTGGGACAGGAGGCGGGGGGCGAGTGGTTGGATCTTACGCCTTCGGGAATGGAGGTTTGGTGGTATGGCGCCAGATACATGAGGGAGGTGTGGCTACTCCTCATCCTAGGTCAGCTTCACCGCCTCCTAGGGGTACCAGGGGTTTTTGTCATCTGTCTGGGTGGAATGACCTGGGTTCGGTGGCTGTTTGGGATTTGGGTGCTCTTGAATCTGGACATGTTACACATTCTGTTTCATACCAGAGGTTCTCAGGGGCCGGGCTGAGGCTATCACCTGTTCCTGTTGGCAGTGCGCTCAGCAATGTGAGTGCCCTGGTGCGCTGCCGTCAGGAATCGGACGAAGTGGGTTTCTTGTTTTGGCTTGGGTGTTTCCAGTTCACCTTGGGGTGTGGCCGGATGTGGCCTAGTTATCTCGAGGGGATGGGTGCGCTTGCTGGAGGTCGGATGAAGCCTATGTTAATGGTGCACTGAGGAAGACTCCGGCTGGAGATGAAACGCGATTGCTGCTAGATCAAAGGATTGTATCTGGTACTTTTTCTTGTTTACTCTGCAGTGTTTTATTTAGGCTTTGTGCCTAGTATATTTTACTATTTATATACTGCATATTGTCCCTGTTTTAATTGTTTATTTGTGCAATAAATTTTGGATTCTGCACTTTGTATCCTGTGCTGCTCTCCTCAAGGATATTGTTTTAGCCTTTTTAGGCACCCTCCTGCATATTATATAGAGCCTGGGACGGCTTTAAATCCTGTGAGTTTTACTCTACATGAGGAGTCTATCATTATATATATATATATTTTTTGCACTATGTTGTGTTATTTGTGTTTTTTAGATTGATCACAAATTGCCATTTAATTTCCTGGTGCAGTATTTATTCTATGTTAATCTGGCACTGCTAGAAGTGGTGTAACAGGCCATGGCTGGTTGTGGTGGGGTCCCCTGCTGATTTTAGGTGTAAAACAGCGGGGTTGTGGCGTGGGTATGTCCTTGCCAATTGAGTTTGAGGGGTTACGTTTAAGTATATGGAATGAGATGAACAAGTTTTTAAGGTCTCAACCTCCCCTGCTTCAAAAGGTTAACATTAGGTTGCCTGAGGTGTCGTGCCCATCGAGCGTGGATAAGGTCGGCTAATGGCGGGCATTGGAAAGATATGATTTTTATGACGAGGGGGGAGGTGAGAGGAAGTGGTGATTAGGAATCACTGTATGTTTATTGGCAAGGACGGTTGGGTCACTGTATAACACTATGTGTGGAGTTATATATGAATATATGTTAATTTATGCTTATTTATGTCTAACGTTTTGGTTACAGAAAAAGAAGAGATTTAATAAATAAAGTTATGGATGTGTTATGCAGTAATTTAGTTTGTGATAATAAATGCTGTGGCCTGTTCATCCATACTAAGTGGTCTGTCATTATTGGGGGGTTGAATGGGGTTAGTTTTGTTCTAGGCTGCATCGCAATTCCCCACTACGTACATACATGTGAATATAAAGCCTAGCATGGGACAACATAGTAGTAGTTTGGAAATAAAAATACAAGACAATAAAACTATTTATTTATTAATTGTATTTATAAAGCGCCACCGAAGTCTGCAGTGCTGTACAATTAGTGGAGGATGTACAATATACATAGAAAAATACAAGAGGTAGAGCGAACCCTGCCCGTAAGCTGATATCTAGCCATTAAATCTCTTGTATACAAAGTGCTTTGCTAGATAGCCAGTGAGCTTACAATCTAAAGCAGTGTTTCCCAAACCAGTCCTCATGGTCCACCAACAGTCCAGGTTTTATCAGTATCTCCATTTGAATAAAACATGGAAATGCATAAATCCTGGATTGTTGGTGGGCAATGAGGACTTGGTTGGAGAAAACTGATCTAAAATATATAGTGGGCATTCGAGACAAGAGGTAGAAGGAAAAGTTTGGAAGCCATGGCTAAGAGACGTTTACAGAGAGTTGCAGCTAGTGGTAAAGTGTAAAGGGAATAAGGAGGTAATTGAGTGAGAATCTCAAACAGCTGAAGGAGCATGCTATATATTTAGGGGGAACCTGGGTGGGAGAAGGGCAGGGTGGGTGGTAAGTGCTGAGGAAAAATGCAGAGCTTCACTATTGTTGTTTCAGTGAGCCTGAAGAACAGAGCTGGAGATGGAACATTTATATGAAGGTATGTATAGCCTGAAGGAGCAAATGAAAGAGGGGGAGAGTAGAGTAACCATGTGTTGTATTCATTTGAAAAGTGTAGCAACCATATTCTAACACCCAAAATATAAATAACTGTGTATATGAATTATTGGTCAAAAACATTAAATGACAATAATAAAAACTGCATGCTTAGAAGCTAGTATACAGAAACCAGCAGAATATGGCAACAAGATTCAAGAAATGTTTATTGTAAAGCACTGCGGAATAAGCTGGCACTATATAAATACAAATAATAATAATAATACAATAAATGGTCAGGAGGTAAATTAACAACGCTTAGCCACAAAAAGCTCAAAAAATTAGGGAAGCTAAGCAAAGGTTTTTTAAAAAAGGAAGAAAATGGTTTATATAACCCAACTTTCATTTGTTACATTTCATGATGAATGCCTATTTTTCAATAGACCAATTATTACCATTATAATGATTTTATTATTATGTCTATTGTGATTTATATTATTTACAATAGACATTTAACCAAAGGGAAGGGAATGATGACAGTGCAATATATAAGTTGACAAACTTGTCAAAAAGAATGAAAACCCTTGCCCCTGAGCCTCTAAATGCAGTATACATGGTATGTTTATAAGACTGTTGCCCATTAGCCTTTAATAGCAGTATACATGGTATGTTTATGAGACACCGCGAGGCCAGAGCACCCCTACCTGGAGAGAACCCGACACAGCGAGGCCAGAGCGCCCCTACCTGGAGAGAACCCGACACAGCGAGGCCTTGAATACCGGTTATTAAAGTTAAACATAGAAACATAGAAACATAGAATGTGACGACAGATAAGAACCATTCGGCCCATCTAGTCTGCCCATTTTTCTAAATACTTTCATTAGTCCCTAGCCTTATCTTATAGTTAGGATAGCCTTATGCCTATCCCACGCATGCTTAAACTCCTTTACTGTGTTAACCTCTACCACTTCAGCTGGAAGGCTATTCCATGCATCAACTACCCTCTCAGTAAAGTAATACTTCCTGATATTATTTTTAAACCTTTGCCCGTCTAATTTAAGACTATGTCCTCTTGTTGTTGTAGTTTTTCTTCTTTTAACCCCTTAAGGACACATGACATGTGTGACATGTCATGATTCCCTTTTATTCCAGAAGTTTGGTCCTTAAGGGGTTAATTGCAGTCTCCTCCTTTACTGTGTTGATTCCCTTTATATATTTAAATGTTTCTATCATATCCCCCCTGTCTTGTCTTTCCTCCAAGCTATACATGTTAAGTTCCTTTAACCTTTCCTGGTAAGTTTTATCCCGCAATCCAGGAACCAGTTTAGTAGCCCTTCTCTGATCTCTCTCTAAAGTATCAATATCCTTCTGAAGATACGGTCTCCAGTACTGTGTACAATACTCCAAGTGAGGTCTCACCAGTGTTCTGTACAATGACATAAACACTTCCCTCTTTCCACTGCAAATACCTCTCCCTATACAACCAAGCATTCTGCTAGCATTTCCTGCTACTCTGTTACACTGTCTGCCTACTTGTAAGTCATCTGAAAGTATTACTCCCTAAATCCATTTCCTCCGATGTTGAGGTTAGGACTCTATCAAATATTCTGTACTCTGCCCTTGGGTTTTTATGTCCAAAATGCATTAATCATGCACTTATCCACATTAAATATCAGTTGCCAAAGCTCTGAGCATTTTTCTACTTTATGTAAATCATTTGCCATTTGGCTTATCCCTCCTGGAACATCAACCCTGTTACATATTTTTGTATCATCAGCAAAAAAACATACCTTACCATCAAGACCTTCTGCAATATCACTAATTCTTCTTCTTATTCTTCTTCTTATTATTATTATATTTATATAGTGCCAACGAATTCCGTAGCGCTTTACAATAAGTGGACTAACAAACATGTAATTGTAATCAAACAAGTTGATGCACAGAAACTGAGGGGCTGAGGGCCCTGCTCAATGAGCTTACATGCTAGAGGGAGTGGGGTAAAGTTACACAAAAGGTAAGTGAAGTATTAGGGAAGTAGATTGGTAGAATAGTATTCAATGAAGACTTAGTGTCAGGTTATTTTGAGCCATTAACAGTTTAATTGATATGCTTATGTGAAGAAGCACATTTTTAAGAATTCTTTGAAGGAGTGGAGACTGGGTGAGCATCTAAAGGAAAAGGTAAAGGAGTTTCACAGGAACAGTGTAGCCCTAGAGAAGTCTTGGGTGCGAGCATCAGAGGTGGGAGTTTGAACAGAGGATAGATGCAGGTCTTCGGTCAATTGTAGGGGCCTAGACGGGACATACTTGTGTATTAGGAAGGATAGATAGGTGGGAGTAGCATTTTGTAGAGATTTGAAAGCAAGAGCCAGAGTTTTATATTGATCCCTTTATCTTATGGGAAGCCAATACAGGGACTGACAGAGGGGTGAGGTGTGGACAGGAAGATGATCCTTGAGGACAGTAGCATGGACCAGCACCTTAGCTGTCATTAAGTAGGGGCGGATGCGCGCAATGTTTTTGAGATGGAAGTCTCAGGATTTGGTGATAGACTGGACATGAGGGGTGAAGGAGAGGTCGGAGTCAAAGAGAACACCTAGGCAACAAGCCTGCGTGGTGGAGGTGAAGGTAGCACTATTAACATGGAGGAAGACAGAAACGGGATTAGCAACACTTGAGGGAGGAAAGACCAGAAGTTCTGTTTTGGACAAGTTGAGCTTAAGGACAGTCATCCAGTTAGAAATAGCAGAGAGGCAGTCAGTGACACTAGTCAAGATGGGCTGGGAGAGATCAGGGGAGGCAGATAGATTTGCGTGTCATCTGCATACAAGTAATATTGGAAGCTAAAGCAGCTGATGAGTTTACCAAGGGAGGCAGTATAGATTGAGAACAGTAGGGGCCAAGGACTGAAACTTGGGGGACACCAACAGAGAGAGGTTGTAAGGAAGAGGCAGAGCCAGAAAAAGAAATGCTAAAAGAATGCTGGGTGAGGTCGGAGGAGCACCAGGAGAGAGCAATATCTCATAGACTGAGATTACAGAAGATGAGAAGAAGCAGTTGATGATCAACAGTATCAAAAGCAGCAGAAAGGCCAAGTAGAATTAGGATAGAATAGTGACCATGAGATTTTGCTGCAAGTTGATAGTTTGATACTTTGGTCAGAGCCTGAGTTCTGAGTGTGAAAAACCAGACTGAAGTGGGTCGAGCAGAGAATTGGACTCGAAGAAGTCTGTCAATCTAATAAAAATATTAAAGAGAATGGGTCCAAGTACAGATCCCTGAGGTACCCCGCTGGTAACAAGGCCTTGCTTCGAATATACTCCATTGACTACAAACCTCTGTTGCCTGTCACTCATCCACTACCTAGCCCATTTAGCAATATTGGAATCCAAACTTTAGGATTCTCAGTTCCTGATATGTGTTACTGACAAAGAACATCCAAATATGTGTTCAGCAAAATCTCCTGAGTACAACAGTGCCCCAATGTACAGATTTGATGTTTATTTGCAAACTTACAGGGTTCAAATGTAAGGCTTTCCCCCTTTCCATGTTTGCACATTGAATTTTCTATATAATATAGAATGCACACTATAACAACTTCAAAAAACTCTAGCTTTATTACATACAAAAAGTACCAAAGTGAAAACATACAAAAAAATAATAAACACAATGACAGAAACAATGGCAAATACAGCAATACAATGGAACAATGCCAAAAAGATTCTTACAAGCCACAGGACAGAAACACGAGTCACCAAACCCCCCCCCAACGTTTCGGCGCCAACTGGCTGCCTATGATAAAGGCTATGTAATATTATATACAACTTTACATCATTGTAACGGATCACCTGGCACCCCAACTGGGTACCTCCGTTGATAGATGCTCTAGCACTTCTTGAGAGCTCCAAGCACTCTAGTCGACACCACAACCACCGCAGGCAGAACCTCTCTTCCTTCCAAGCAAAGCAGGAACAAGCTCTTAAAAGAGCAAGGGAATATGCAGAGCGTAGCAATCCCTTGTAGCAGATTCCCCCCAATAAGAGACAGGACTCCAAATTGAGGGTGAAGTAGAACTGTCTAAAACTTTATTTTACTTGGGACTAGTCCATATGGTCATTACATTAAAATTGCTGTGAAAACTCAATAAAATTACAAACAGTCAAATCATAGCAGGCAACATACAGTGACTTATTACAACATAATGACATATTTATAAATGGGTGGGGAAGAACATAATTAACACAAAATGTCTCTCCTGCATGCAGAATTAGCAATATGCAAATCTACCCGAATATGCAAATTACCAGTCTTGCTATTCAGGTAGTGCATATTACTGTTGCTACCAACAGAGGGCACTACACAAGTTCCATAGTCAAATCCACCTAGTTGGTAGCAATCCTCAGCAGTACAGGAGAGCAGACAATACATCCCAGGGGCCATAGTCACATGGCAGGAGGCTGGCAATCAGTCTTCTCCAATGCCCAGTGGCGAGGCTGGTTCCACCACATTTCTCACCTTTTCCAAACAGACTAACAGGGTATCTGACCTCCTGCCGGTCAGTGCCCTGGTTAGTCCAGCAACCCACCCACGAAACACAAACAGTAATACAGCCCACCCAAAATACATGGTTACTACACCTGGGTCCAGGTGCCTCACCACGGCTGTGTGGGGTACTGATAGGCTGGCTTGGTGGGTTGCTGAGTGGGCAGAGACCCGCGGTACTCTGCCCTGGTGCCAGCGCTACCACGGGAGTAGCCTAGTTTGAGCCATGCTGAAAAGAAGAGTTGGTAGGCTCCTCTCTCGGGATCTGGGGCTGCTGCTGGAGGGGGAGACCGACTGTCTCCCCTTTGGTTACATAGTCCTGCTGCTGAAGGGGGAGACCGACTGTCTCCCCTTTGGCTAAACAGCCCTGCTGCTGAGGCACAGGACCGACTGTCCCTACCCCTGGTGGTGCATGTGCAGAGACCACGGTCCCATCTGCACTGTTGTGGAGCTTACTGTCTCCCCTTGGTGGGCTAAGCTGCTGTTGGGGAGAGGGGGTAACTGACTGCTATTATATTACAGTCCAAAAAGGTTTTTTTTTTTTAAATGCAAGCTATTGGGACACCAGTGAGTGAGTGGTGGCACTGGGCAGGCCCTGAAACACACACTCGTGAAGGAAACTGACTGCTATTATATTACAGTCCAAAAAGTTTATTTTTTTTTAAATGCAAGCTATTGGGACACCAGTGAGTGAGTGGTGGCACTGGGCAGGCCCTGAAACGCACACTCGAGAAGGAAACTGACTGCTATTATATTACAGTCCAAAATGTTTTGGTTTTTTATAAATGCAAGCTATTGGGACACCAGTGAGTGAGTGGTGGCACTGGGAAGGCCCTGAAGCGCACACTCGTGAAGGAAACTGACTGCTATTATATTACAGTCCAAAAAGTTTTATTTTCTTTTAAATGCAAGCTATTGGGACACCAGTGAGTGAGTGGTGGCACTGGGCAAGTGGGCACAGTATATGCTGTGAGCCTGGCACACAGGCTGGCAGGCAGGCAACTGCAATTACATTTCACAGAAAAAAAAAGCAGACTTATGTTCTAGCCCTAAAAAGGGCTTTTTGGGGTGCTGTCCTTACAGCAGAGATGAGATGAGTCCTCCAGGACTGTAGTGGACACTGAATACACTAGCCTAGCTATCAATTTCCCTATCATATCAGCAGCAGCTACACTGTCCCTCCTCTCACTAAGAATGCAGCTTCACAATGAATGTAAAATGGATGCTGTTCAGGAGGTGGGAGAGTCTGGGAGGGAGGGTATGCTGCTGATTGGCTGGAATGTGTCTGCTGACTGTGAGGTACAGGGTCAAAGTTTACTCAATGATGACGAATGGGGGGCGGACCGACCAGCGCATATGTTCGCCATCCGTGGCGAACGCAAACAAGTGATGTTCGCCAGGAACTATTCGCCAGCGAACCGTTCGGTACATCACTATTCATAACTTTAAAAGTATGCATCACATTCTTAAAACTTACATTTTCATCCAAATTGATCCATTGGTTCAAAAGATAGATCAAAGT